GCCAGGCTTGGGAGTCGAAGAGCTCGGATCATGCCAGGCAGCAGGCTTCTGCCGAGGTAGAAAACCAGGTGGGCTACTGCTCACATTGAAAAATTCACTAGCATCGCTGTTTTTGTCCAAACTGACGCAGAGCTACACAATGCCTCAAATTGGTCTAGTATTTTAAGTTGATTATAAAATTAAATTGATACATTCACTATAATTTAGAAAAACTACCCTTTCAGTTTATTATTAGAGATCCTTTAAATCTTTTATGATGATGATTTTGATTGTGATTTAAAATTCTAATTTGATTTTTATGTCTTGAAATGACGTGGGACATCTACTCTCCCATGGGTTGGCATGCTCCTGTTTCTTCTTGAGAGCACATGCTGGTTTTAGATTTGAAGAGAGGGATGTAATGGAGATTTCTGGAGTGTTTTCACAAGGGCTCCTTGAATCTGTAACTCGATGAATATGTCATGGTTTTCACTCTGTGCAGTGGATGGGCCCTGAGAGGTAGTAATTATGGCTTTCTCAAGGGCTCCGAGCTCAGTTTCACAATGTGGCGTAGGAGCTCTGAGAAAGACTGTGATCAATGAATCCATCTGTAAAGCAAAGAATCATTTGGAAACCCAAATGGCCATCCACCAACACAGCTATTTCATCAGTTACAATTTTAGCATGGCACATTTTTCTGAAAAACCAAGCACACAAGCAAGAAATTTTATATATTAAAATTTTTCCTAGGTGATTTATAGGACACAACAGCAACCTGCCCTGACCTTGATAGACGTGTATGACATTCAGAAGCAGCAGAAGCCGGAAAGATGAGTTTGGGATTGGTTTCCCTGGATGGATAGGTGACAGCAGCGGAGCATTGATTTTCTCTTGTCCATTTCTTTCATTCTTCACCACCTGCTTCAAAGGGGTCAGCTCTGAGCCGCTTACTCCTTCACACCAAAGATTGGATCTTGGAGCTGCAGGAGACTCTCTCCCTTCCTCCCCTCCTCTGAGGTGGAACAAAGAAAGCTAAGCCTTTCCAGGAGTCACAGGATACTTTGTTTCCTCAGTGCTTTGTGAAAGGTAGAAAGCATGTAAAGTTCATGTCAGAGGAAGAGAAAGCTTTCCTGCAAGGCCAAGAACAGATGTCAGGCAGCAGAAGTTGAGATGATTCCGTCTTTGTCTGTCACCTGGTGCTGTAGTAGGCAGCACACAGTCCCTCGAAGGAGCTCTGAACAGGTACAGAAGCTGCTCCCAGGAATGTGCTGCACCATCCACACCTGGGATGTGATGGTGGCTGTCTCCTCTCTGAGGCTGTAGGCACAGAACGGGCCCAGTTCTCACTCATGCTGTGAGACCCAGACAACTCTTCTGTGTCTGTTTTTCCATGAATAATCAACACCTGCCTTGCCCCTCTGCCCACGTCTGAGGCTGGTGGAAGCATCAGTGGAGACACACGAATGAGCTTTCAGCAACTCAGCAGAAGGGCTGGGAAAGCATGTCAGTGTGCCAGCCAAAGAGAGCTGGGTGGAAAGAGGCTGAGAATCCTCCCGCCCGGGCCGGAGCCCAGCACTGGACAGAGCAGGGCCACAGCAGCACAGGACGGCTCCCAGAGGAAGGGGCTCCGAGGGTGCAGCAACAGGGAGAGGCATCTCCATCTGCTCTCTACCCTCCATGCCATTCCAAGGGGAAGATCATGCCATGCTCAGGTGGGGGGCAGGAGTCCGAGCTCCCTTCAGACAGACACAAGCATCCTGGTCGTCATCTGCCCGGAGCTCTAGCCACAGCCCCGGGCTACTGTTCGGCATGAACGCAGCCTCCCCCAAGGGTTGCTCACTGGAAGCCTGGTCCCCAGCATTACCACATGGAGGAGGTGGGGGCCTTTGGAGGGGCTGAGTGGAAGGGTCTCGCTCATGTGGCTCTGCTGCCCCACAGGCTGGCACTGCCCCGCAGAGGGCCCTGGCTGTGAGCCCGGATTCACCGCGAGAACGGGTTGTTGGACACGCCTTTCACCTACCCAGGTAGCACTGTCTCGAGCCCTGTTGGAGTCACACCGTTGCAGGCACCAGCTCTTCAGCTCCCAGGACCACCCATCTGTGAAGCACCCAGCCTGGGCATGCTGAGGACAGCAGGAAGCAATGGCAGCTGCCAAGTTCATGAGTTAATTTCCTCTTTTCCTTTCTTTCCTTCATCCTCTGCCTCTTTGTCATGTTTAATTCGAATCACTCTGTTTAAATTTTATTGTGCAATATAATGCACACTGAGAAAAGTCATACCATCCATGTCCCGTGTAACACACCCTTCCAAGGAAAGCTGTCCACAAATCCTCCAAGTGGATGGGACACTGCCACCCCCACAACCCCAAGCTTGCTTCCCGTGTCACAGAGCCCTCTCCTGCCCTAGAACTAAGTTCATCTTCACATTTTGGATCATTTTATTTTTAAAAATATGTTCACCATTCTATTCTGTATCTTCTAAGAGTAAATTTTAGTTTCCCTGTCTTTCACCTTTGTGTAAGTGGAATAATACTTTACACATTTTTGTGTTTCTCCTCTCCCATGTTAAGCGTGTGATCTGCAATCATGACATAGTGGGCTTTTTACTGCTCTGTACTATTCCTGAGCACTAATATCCCATGACTTACATAACTATTCAACTAAAGAACATTTGAATTATTTTGTTTCTAGATATGACTGGACCAAAGTTTCTGGGTCATAGGCAATGATCTCAAAATGGTTTCACAAAGTAGTTTTATCAGTTCATGTCCTCACCACACCCCACATACAGGACAGTCTATGCCACCACTCTGTTGACAGCAGCTGGCCTGGCCAAACTGCAAACCTGCTGCCAAAGTGCTGCGTGTGGAGCACTCTCTGGCTGTGGTTACGTCGTGCACTTCTGGTTCCTTGTTTGTTTTCTTCACAGTAACTCCCAGGCCTTGTTGGCCTGCCTGCTTTTCCACCCTCTCCCTGCTCCAGCGCTCGGCTGCTCCACTCCCTGGCTTGGAGCACCTGCCCTGCCTCCCAAGGCCCATGCCCACAGCACGGCCTTGGCACATTCTGCTCTGTCCCTCAGACTGGGTCCCAGTGCTCGTGCGCCTTGCATGGCCTGGGTCCCTGTGAGATGGGCTTGAGTGGACGGCTGGGTCATGCTCCATCTGCCTCTCCTCACAGCTTGAGGTTTCAGTGGGGAACTGTGCAGCATGCTGAGAGTCCCAGTTTAGTGGCCCTAAAGTCCTAAATACTGAAGCGGAGCTGATGATGACTTTCACTAAAATGAAAATGTGCCGTGAGTAGTTGGAGAACGAAACCTGCGCCTCTTCACGCCTCACAGCCCATCCCCTCCTGCTGAATTTTGAGCCATAGCAGCCCGGAGATCAAGTGGTTCTCAATTCAGAATGGAGAGGCAGAGAGGCTGACATGACCGGGACCATGCACACTTGGAGGTTGCCGCCCATCCCTGAACAGGGCTCCTTCGTCCCTCACAGGGAGTCTGCTGCCAGTGAGGGGAACAGGCTGTGATCTGCAGTATCCAGCGTGGGTGCGAAGGACTCAGTTAAGCTCAGGCGACTAGGGGCCATGAGCCTAGACCTCCTGAGGCCGGCTCTCTCTGAGTAGGTGACCACTGTCCTGAGGGTGTTTGTCCCAGGCACATTGGTGGGCAGTGGGCTCCGGCCAGCCTGTAACCACCCTGGACCGGGGTCCTGGGTCACTGGGGAATGAGGTGGCTCCTGTCCATCAAGTGTAGGTCCAGTGGCTTGGGAAAGGGTCGCCCGGAGCTCCACTGGCTAGGCTGGCCCTGATCTGGGGCTTCCTGGTGTAATTGTTGCTCATACACACAAGCACAAGCTCACACACGCTATCACAGTTTGGGTCTAGATGACCCTCCTAAAGCCTCATGTGGTCATAGGTGGCTTTTTCAGCAGTGGCCGAATCTAGAGTGTGTGATGCTGGGACTAAGGCTGGGTGATTAATAAATCAGTCCACTGACTGGTTTGGCACTGCCCTCATCCTGGTAGCCTGGGTAAGATTAAAAGGGGCAGAAAGATGTTATTATGGTTGGTTCCTTCATTGCTTTTGCTGTCCTCCACCACCATGAATTGTTGCCCCTCTGCCATGCCACCCTGCCTTGGAGCCAGCCGAGTATGGACTGAAACCTCTACAAACTGTGAGCTAAATAAACCTTTCCTCCTTTAACTTTGAGTGTTGAGTATTTTGTCTCAGCAATGAGAGAAAAGTAACTAAGACACACACACACACACACACACACGTATGCATGCACACGCTCACAGATGCATGCATGCACTCACACACACATGCACACACTCACACTTGTGCACACACAAATAGTAGTGATGACACAAGAGGAACTGTGACCTCAGCTGGACTCCAGGGTGGGGATGGAGGACTCAGAGCTGCCTGTCAGCTTCCATGACACATCCCTCCTGTTACACAGTGAGGAAAGCTTCAAGCAGAAAGAAAAGGGTTTCTGAATTATTAACCTACTCGCTTAGGCCCTCTGGTCCTGTTGGAGTTTGTGATTGTCTGCAGAGGTGTTGTCCTGCCACCTTCGCCCCCGAAAAGGCCAAGCAGGGAGGCCGGGGAAGGCCCACCACTATCCAGCTGCTGGGGGCTGCTGCATGAGTCTGAGCTCGGTAGTCAAGTGGTGGCCCTCACCTGCTGGCTCTGAGGCATGAGATGGCCTACTCTGCAAATTACCACAGTGGCAGTGGCCTCCTTGACTTGTGAGCTCCCTGAGGTGGTGCGTGGGAGGTGAGTGTCTCCCTCAGCCTCTGCGGCACAAGTGCAGAAGAAAGTGGTGACCCAGAATCATGGCAAGGAGCCCGGCGTTTTACCCTCGGGACCAAAAGATTGAGACAGATACTTTAAAAAAAGCATTATTCCAGGTTTCGGTCTTTGATTAAAGGTATCCTTGTTCTTGGAGATGCTTAATAAAATCTGCCAATGACAAAAAATGGATATTCAAACTGCATCGAATGAAAAACTCTAAAAGTGATTGCATCTCCTGGGTTGCATGCCTTCTGCTCAGGGGTTTAGAGTTTTGATATTAAATCCTCTCTGCCTTCCTCTAACATCTCTTCATGTGGCCCTGGTAGTCACTGTGTGACAGCCCCTGCCAAGTCACCCCAGGGCTTTCTCTCCAAGAAAGTAAATCCAGCATCCAGCACGAGGCCTTTTTTGCTTTTCTGTACCCTGTGGATAGCACTGCTGGTCCGGGACCCTTCCTCCTCCATCAACAGCAGCACTCTCCACCGGCCTTCCGGGGTGGATGCTCCTCCGCAAGCCGCTTGGAATTTGGCCTGAAAAAAGACATGTGGGCCTGCATGAGGTCACGAAACTTGGCTTGGAAATCCACAGCTTCTTATGAAAATAATATTTTTTATATAAATGTACCATTTTAAGGAAGGTGGTTACTAAGCAACCTGATTTAAGTGATTATGAGAAATGGGAGGAATTTCTTTCATTAGGGCCTGTTGTTACTTAGGTCAGAAAGTTTCTGTGCTTGTGTTGGTTTAGGATCTATTTTAATTGTATCTTGTTTTTAACACCTTCATCCTGTGTGCTAGTTACATGTTGGGTACTGGACTAGGTGGCCCCTGAGGACAAAAGTGACATGGACCCTCCTGGTACACGCCTCCAAGGGGCTAGGGGCAAGGGGCCCTGAGGCAGGAGGTGCAGCTGGGCTGGTGGGTGTGGCCCGTCAGTCACAGAGGTCCAGGCACACAGCAGCTTCCACGCTCTGCACCTGGGACCCACAGGAGACTGCTAGCTTCAGTTCTTCTGGCACAAGGTCAGGCAGGTTCTCGACAGGATGGACTAGATCTGACTCCCTTTGAGGGTATAGAAGGTGGTGGCTGTTGGCCTGGTGGCCACTCCCTACCCTCTTTCTCAAGGGCCTGCTCTGCAGAGCATGCTCCTTTTCAGAGCACTTCTTCTTCCTTTTCTTAAGACCTGTCATAAAGGTAAAACCATGCATCTTCATTTCCTGTTCAATTCTCAGTTCAGGATGAGAGCCTAGGAGGATGCCTGGGAAGAGCACAGCACCCCAGTGCCTGGCTAACAGTCCCACAGGCCTTTGGGGACAGCTGCAGAATCCTGTTGAGTGGCTGAGTGCCACAGAGGGAATGACATGGTGTGACATAGGGCTCCCCAGGGGAGTTGCTTGTGCTCAGGGCAGACTATCTGACTCAGACAGTGGGTCTCTGGGTGCTTTTTGAGGAACTAAGAGTGTGATGGAAAGGTACAGTGAAGGTTAAATTTTAAAATTTGTATTACAGTAAAAGACATTCGGTCATCAATTCCCCTCAAAATACTTTCTCTCAATCTAAGCACACTGATCCCATCATTCTTGACACTTTTTGGAGCAGTTCTGGAAGTCCTCTTTCCTGAGTGTTTCACTCACTTTTCTTGTCAGTGGGACAAAATATCAAATAGCCACAAATTAAAAGAGGAGAGGTTTAGTTTGGTTCATGTTTAGTCTTTGGTGGGCCGGCCCCATTTCTCAAATGATTAGTACATTGAGCATCTTTTCATGTGCTTGTTGGGAATTTGTAAATCTTCTTCACAGAGGTATCTGTTCAGTTCCTTTGCTCATCTTTTAAAGTTGGGTTGTTGGTCTTTCGCTGCTGAATTGGAACTCACGCTAGATCCTTACATTTATATGTCCTTTATAGGTCCTTACAAGACATATGGTTTGCAACTATTTTCTTCCATTCTTTGGGTTGTCTCTTTACTGTCCTGGTAGTGTTCTTTGACTCTAAATATATTTTTAATCTGAGAAAAAAAGGAAAGAAACTCATTTGCTTCTCCAAGCCCTGGTTATGATTTCTGGAAAAGATACCAGGCTGACCCAGTGGCTGTGGTAAGAATGGATTCTGGGACACGGGGTGTGGGGTGACCTGTGCTGGGGCAGAGCTGGGCCCCTGAGAAGAGACACAGATGCATAAGTGCCTAACTGAGAAACTGGTGCGAATAATCATTGTGCAGGATTTTAACAGTGACACGTAGAGGACTTCGAGGGCGGGACAAGTGATTTTTAACCAAGGAACCCAGAGCTGGTGCCTAAGTGGCCTGGGTGGGTGACAGGAGGTGTGATAGGGTTCAAGGTCGGGTGGGAAGACACACACCTGCTGGAGACTAAGATTGGAGATATTGACTGAGAGACAGAGTGTTGGAGTCCCTGACAGTGAGGTTGCAGAGAAACGGAAGCAAAAAATAAAGTGTGGCCGGGCAAGGTGAGTTCCAGAGAGGCTGGGCATTGCGGAGGACTGTGAGGGACGAATTTACCAAGTTCCACTTTGGCTGTGGGGCTTTCTCTTCTATTCCCTTTATGTCTTTCCTGCCCAGAGCTATGCTTGGGCTGCCCAGATCCCACATCCTCTTCTCTCTGAGCTCAGGGAGCTTCTTTCCTTACGATTCACCTGGTCATTGCCTTGATTGCTACTGCAGTCGTTGCTTATGTCACCACTCAACTTCCACACCAATTCCTTCATTCTTGGGTCCCCAGCTAGACAGCCCAGTGATGCTTGTGCTTCCTGAAGTACTGTTTTCCGTGGAATGAATACTCAATAATATTTGTTGATTTGTTATGAATACAACATTCTAATAAAGACTAGAATAACTTTATAAGCTCCGCATGAGTATGCATCTTTAAGCTTTTTTGTTCTGGGCCATTAATTTTCTCTCTTTATGTCTCAAATGAGACAGTTCTTGTGTCACCGTAGATGGGGACAAGTCATCCATGGATCTTTTTTCAGTAAGCCCATTCATTCAGTACCATCAACGATTTCTCTCTGAAGACGGAGAAGAGACTGGAGTGATAAGTCAATGGGTGCCGCTGCCTTTTAAAAAAATGAAAACTTCATTTTCAACCTAAAAGATCATTAGGAGCACAGTGGTAAAAGTAAAAGTTGAAATTCTAAATACTACATCATTACTGCTCTGAGAGGTCTAAGATAACAAATTGGAAAATTTGTCTAAAATAATTGCAGGAGAAAGATTGTTATTACCTGCTTTTGTGAGAGAAACAAAGGAAATTACTCTTCTTCTTGAGGCAGATATAATTTGTGTGCATCTGGAAATTAATGATATTACAAGATATAATTGCAGAATGTCTTAATTTCATCACATAATTATCTTCTTTCAGCAATATAGTATATTAGTATGGTAAAAATGTGATCTATGGGGTTCAAAACAGACAAAAGATTTATTAAGACTTTTTTTCCCTTATAAGAAGGGAACAGAGAAAAATACATGCAAAGGATGGTTTTGTTACAGAGCAAAAAGCTCAAGACAACAGAAATCCATCATAAAGTGCCAAAAATTTACTGTTTCGCTCCAGTATTTATCTCTTCTAGTCATTTTCCATTTACATGGTCATTTGGCTTAGTTGCAAGCCTTCGTCAGAGAAGTCAGGAGAGGCAAAGGCAGGATGTAGGCACAGAAAGGGTCTCTTGTCTGAGTTAGTCTCACGCAGTGCCACTCCTGCTGTGAACGCCCTGTGAGGCCTGGCAGCCCTGGCCCCTCTCCAGGATGTGGCTGGTTGGCGCGGGGCGGGCCTTTTCCCCAGGGCTCATGGGTGTCCGCGCTGGCTCGGCGCCTGGTTTCCAAGATGGCGCAACTGGAAGCGCTCAGCGCAATTCAGAGATGCTTCATGGGAAAAGCAGGGTAAGAGGTTAGACATCCCAGCTGTGCTTTGAGCTCTTTTGCCCAGTGCTTGTGTGGCCTGGAAAATCCAGTGACCTTGGGGGCGCTGTGTGACATCACAGATGTGGGGAATCTGACCTCCAGCTCCTGCTTTCTGCTGCATGGTGCTGAGGACCCCAGGAGGGGCCTGGCTAGTCAGCAGCCTGTGCCTTTGGACTTGGGCACACATGGGGTCTTGGGGTGAGCCGAGGAGGCCTGTTTGTGGTCCTGTCCATGGCCCCAGCCTGCTCAGGTGCCCCTAGGGCGCTCCTCTGCCATTTGGTCCAGTTGGGCTGGGTGGGGCAGAGGCAGTTCAGGAGTCCCCCGTGGACCCAGGGTGTGGTGCGTTCAATCAGCTGAAGGCCACTTAGAGCAGGGACACATGACAGGTCAGCCCAGGCAGACAAGGAAAGAGGATGGGGCTGCACTTCCACTGGTCACTCATGTCCAGGCCTGGCCTCTCCCAGACCAGTGCGCTGGCTGGATGTCCCTGGACTCCTGCCCCAGGTGACCTCCAGCAACTTCCTGGCCTTGGGCTTCCACCTACCTTGGGTCCAGATAGGACCTCCATGGGGTGGTGCCACAGACGTTGTTGTCCCTGACCTCTCCTCACATCTCTGGAGGTCACCAGGGCCTAGGCCTGGAAACTGCTGGAAGGTCAGGGCAGGGCAGGACAGGCTGTGATCCTAGAGTTGAGGTGGCAGTTGCTGGAGCCCAGCGGTGAAGCTTGGAAGGAAAAGGTTGGGACACTTTTGAAGAAAATCTACCGGATGTACGGAAGGGGATGGGTTTGCTGGGAGCACTGGGTAGAGGGAGCTCACAGGGAAGGTGCTGTTGGGAACAGGAAGGGAGCAGGCCAGGGGCTGGGAATACACCAAAGAGGACAAAGCCTTGTTTGCTGTGTTTTACTCCACACACACGCTTGAGTTAGATTTAGTGAGATTGTGGGGGTTTTTAAAGTTGTTTTTTTTTAAATCTGGAGTCAGTCCTCAGGGCGTCTAAGCATATTCTCCCATGGAAACAGCACTGGACAGGAACTTAGGCTGGCCGCAAGCTCCTTTAGGCTCACCGTGGTGGAAGCAGTGTGGTGATCATCCTGCCTGGTACACTCAGGCAGAAAGAGCAAGTCAGAGGCAGGCTGTAGAATCAGGTCCCATTCACTAACGAGCTGGCCTCACATCTTACTCAGTCTCAGCAGGTCTGTTCTCCTTGTGTGTGGACCGGCAGAGTAGGCCAGCATGGGAGGCTCATCCTGAGGGGGACGGAGACCATGCTGCTGCCATTGCCACACGCTGACACCTGGGCCTGGCGTCCGGGGCAACTGAGGCTTTGTGGAGTCACCTGGGGCTAAGGTAACCCATGCCCCAGGGTTTCTGTGACCCAAGAAAGCCCAGGGTTGAATGGAAGGAATCGCACAGTGGCTGGTGCAGGATGAATGCTCAGCCGGCGTTACTCAGTCCAGCCTCTTCTTCCTGCAATCCTAAAACCAAGGCTGACAGCCAGGGACGTGTGATGGAGTGGAAACTGGAAGCTGGGTGTCCTGGGTTCCCAGCCAAGACTTTTCCTGCTCTGTCAACCTGCCGGTGAAGAAAAAACTCGAGGGATGGTGAAATCAACCTCCCCGCAACTGTGGCTAGATGACAGGGAGGTTGCTCCAACTCTGACTGGGAACGTCAGAGACACCCAGGCCCGGCCCAGAGGCAGCGGCTTCTGGAAGTCACGGGTTTTAGAGGCTGTGGGGCCAGGTCAGGGGGAAGTGGGGACGCAGGCAGAGCTGATGGGTGGGAGGCAGAGTGGCTCTGCTGGAGACACCAAGGGGGTGTCGTGTCTGAGGCACCCTGTCCCCTGGGCTCTCTGGCTGGGCCAGAGGGAGCCTCCCATGGCACGGACAGGCAGTTCAGTGACAGAGGTGGGGAGGGAGTTGACACGACTGCCACTGTCATTTCTGCACACAGGATATTCCCAAGTAGGATTTTTATATAGGGAACTAGAAGATATAACAGCCAAGGCAGTCTAATTGAGACACTCAAGCTTTACCATCTCGTTTTGGTGATTTTGAGACACACACACACACACACACACACACACACACGCTGACAATTTTTTAAGTGTACCTACTAAAACATCTCATGTGATTTTATAGGTTATTTTTATCAGATATTCAAGGAACAGAAATGTCTCATCATATAAAACAAAATCCTCCAAAAGAAGAAAATGGGGGAGTGTTTCCCCTCTCGGGGCAGCAGAATAACAGCTCCCAGAGATACCTACAGTCCGACAGACCTGTGGCTGTCCCTCAGCAGAGGGTCTGCAGCTGCAACTGGCAGCCCTGAGGGGGGAAATGACCTGGATGGTTGTTCCAGGCTGTCCAGGTGGGTGTGATGTGACCCCTTGTCCTCATCAGTGAGGGGACAGGAGAGTGGGGAGGTGCTTGCTGGTTGGAAGGGGCCACAAGCCAGGAGCACAGTAGACTCTGTGAGATGGAAAAGGCAAAGCAAGCAGGAGCCAGCGGGTCCTCCCGGAGCCTCTGCTCTGCATGTGGCCCTGGGTCGCCTCAGTCTCAGCCAGGGAGACCCACTTTGGACACCTGACCTCAAGAACAACAAGGTAACAGATATGTGTTACTTAAGTTTTGCAGTAAATTGTTACAGCAGTGATAGTCTAAAATACTACTCCCTTAAGGAATTGGCATAACTTTGTGGCTAACTCACCTTCTTCATCGCTGGGACAAAATATCTGACACCTGCAACTAAAGGAGGAGAGGTTCATTTCAGCTCGAGTTCTAGTCACAGTCAGCCGGCTCTCAGGAGTACGGCCTGGCAGAGGGGCTGGGGGAGGAGAGACAGGAAACAGGGGCAGAGTTAAGGGAAGAGCTGGGAAGGAGGTGGAACCTTGCAGGCCACAGCCCAGGGACTGCCTCTTCCTCCAGACCCCATCCTGACAGACAGCAAGTCAGCCAGGAGCCCCAACACCCATCACCTTCCCAAAGGCCCACCTCTGATCTGATGGGCTTTGGGGACATACGCAACTACAGCACACTGATAGAGAATCTAAGACAGCCTGAGGACACAGAAGTACGAACTAATCTCACTCTTGGAAATAGGTGCAGACGCTCTAAATTAAACAAATTTAGCAAGTATTTAAAAAACAAACACAAACAAAATACCCTTGTTTTCCAGTTGGGTTTATCTCAGGGATATGAGGACATTTTACCATTAGAAAAGTTATTAAAGTAATTCACCACCGTAACAAATAGAAGAAAAGCCATTAGATACTCCTAATAGGTGAAAAAATGCGTTCAATAAAGTTTAAAACACATTTGTGATTAAAAACTAAAAGCTCTTGGGCCATAATAGAATAATTAGCTCTTTCACTATAAATAACCATAAAACTAGGGCAAATATTAATTACTGTTTTCAGAGTTGGGCAAAAGTAGCGTATGATTATGATTCCACAGGGAAGAGAGTGAAATGCATCGAGCCCCACAGTAGCCTGCCTGGGGGCACTTTCCACAACACATGGCAGCATGCAGCCTTGGAGGAGAGCAGCTGTCCAATCAGGGAAGCACAGCGGGGCTTGGGGTGGCGGGACTGGCATAGCAGAGGCCAAAGGGGAGGGAGATGAGGGAACAAACAAGAGGTGCACACGTCCACATAGGGCTCTCTGAGTCCTTGAGCGGATGCCAGTCTGTGCAGTTGGCACAGAGATCTGCAAGCCTGGGCCAAGCCGCACGATGGGGAGAGAGGAGGATGTGCAGGCACAGCTCAGGAGGGCCAGGGTGCTGGGACTCACTCCAGTCAGACTGGAGGGCCGCAGGGGCCCTCGGGGCCCACGGTAGAGGCACCAAAAGGGCCCTGCTGGCCCTGGCACATGGGCCTCACGCACTCAGCAAAGCTTAAAGGCAATGGGTAGAAATACCAAGGAGACTCGTAACTAAATACCTGCCTCCACAAAAAGTCCATTATGCCGAGGAAAGACAGTGAAATCTACATTCCTCAGTGTAACATCCACAATGTCCGTGATGTAAGGAAAGCACTAACTGCGTGAAAAGGACGATGGCCTCTGGATGAGCAGAAACGGTCAGAAGCCACAGAGGTGGTGCAAATGATAGCTTAGCACTCTTAAATATGGTTAAAAATTTAAAGGAAAACATAAATGCATGGAGGGAACCAACACAATAACAATAGAAAAGGGAAACCATAAAGTAGGACTTGATAGAAATTACAGAGCTGAAAAGGAGATGAGGAACCGGAGATAGACCCCAAGGTCACCTCTCCCAGACCCACCCAGACACACCCAGATGTTGTTCCACCTGTCCCCCAGGGGGCTGTCAGGTCAATAAACTTTCTGGCCCTGGTTAACCTGTCAACCAAACCATATGTAACAACCAAGCTATATGTATGTCTCCTTAAACTATATGTAATCACCAAGTAAAGATAATAGTAAATTCGCAATTCCACCTAGCATGATACAACTATCCCGTGGACAACTGGAAACACACTATGTCCCTCCCCAGTATAGGAGGCAAAGTTTCTCTGGTTGATGTTTACACCTGAAATTCCGTAACTTAAAATTATAATGTAGATTTAACAATATTAAGGTACCAATATTAACTTCCTCAATGTTATGGTACATGGTGTCATGATATAATGAAAGAAAACAAAGCTGTCTGCTTAAATATGTGTATATATGCACAAGCAAATTAATAAAATAGGAAAGAAGTGCTCATGACAACTACAATCTCTGTTTCTGTCATATAATTATAGCTGATATTTATAACTACCTTCTTCTACTACACATTCTGTGTTCCCTTGGCTATTAGCAAGCTCTTTAGTGCTTTCCCTGGTGGGAGAACCATACCTTTATTCCTAAGGTTCTGGGCCATTTGTCATCCTTCCCGGATTGGGTTGCTGCAGCTTCCCACTGACTTTAATAACAGGGCATGGTAATACTAGGAGGTGCCCTAAGGGGTCTCCTGTACCCCCAAATACTCTTCATTACCTCCATTGTGGAG